AAGCACATATTTTGTGATGTTTTTTCAAAAATACAACAAAAAAATTGTCAAATTAGCTCAAAAATGGTGTCATTTGTGTCCATTTACATAAATTAAGCACTTTTGAACTAAAAAATTTTTTTGCAAATTTTGTTATATTTACCAAATCAAAAATCACAAAATTATGTTAATAGTTACATTTTTTGTTTCTTTTCAAGGGTTTCGGCACGTTTTTAAACAAGAAACGCATTTATTTCGAAGAATTTTTTCAAAAATACAACGAGAAATTGTCAAATTAAGTCACAAATGGTGCCCGTTGTGTTTTTTTTTAAATGACGCACTTTTTGAGCCAAAAACTTAATTAATCTTCTAAGATTTTACTATAACGAATCAAAAAATTGCCAAATTAGATTAAAAATTGCGTTTTTCGTGAGATTTGCACGTTTTTAAACTAAAAACGTATTTATTTCGAGAAATTTTTTCAAAAATACAACGAAAAATTGTCCAAAAATGTTAAAAATGGTGTCAAAAACTTAGTTTCTTACAAGATTTTGCTAAGTATACGGAACTAAAAAATCTATAGGTACATTATATCAAAAATGTTATTTTGTATTTTTTTCAAGTACGTTTTTAAACTAGAGACGCATTTATTTAAAGAAGTTTATTAAAAACACAACAAAAAATCGTTTAAATTAGGTGTAAGATGGTGTTATTTTAGTCACTTTTTGAGTTAAACACTTTCAAGGCATTCAAATCTTTAATCAAATTTTTAGTTTATTTTTTGTATTTTTGTAGGGTTTTAAACCCATAACGCATTGATTTCATAAAATTTTTACAAAAATTTAACGAAAAATTATCAAATTAGATCAAAAATATGGTCATTTTAGTCTTTTTTAAACATTCAGGCATTTTTTTGATTTAAAAACTTAGTTTTTAAAAAAATGACATTTTTTGTTTCCATTTCGAACGTTCTTACACGATTTTAAACCAGAAACACATTTATTTTAAAGATTTATTCAAAAATATCTAAAAAATTCTCATATTAGGCTAAAAATAGTGTCATATTTAAGCACAATAAGCAGTTTTTGGGCTACAAACTTAGTTTTTTTAAGATTGTGCTACACCTAACCCAAAAAATCGCTAAATTAGTTTAAAAAAGGCATTTTTTGTTTTTTTTTTGATCGTTTTTACATAATTTTGAACCAAGGATGCATAAATTAGGTCGGAATCAAGCTTATTAGCAATTTTTTGACTTAAAGACTCAGTTTTTGCTAAAGTGGATTAAATTAGGTAAAAGTGACATTATTTATATTTTTTTTTGCGCTTTTCAGTATGTTTTTCTGCTGAAAAGCAATTATTTCAAGAACCAGTTTTAAGTTTACTTATATTTTATTACAATTTGGTTAATTTTTTTGTCAAATTGTTAAATCCAGAACCAAGCCTTATCCAAAAACATTGAGACAACTTTAAATAATATTTATTTCATGAAGTTTTTTTATTAAATGTTTCTTTTGATTCTCAACTCACCTTCGTTGGTGTGTAATAAAGGGTTTGCTCGACCGTCAGGCCCGGAATAAGATCGCACTTGTGGGTCACATACCCACACCTTTGCTGAAAAAGGCTCAAATTCATTGGATGATTGTTGAGTAGAATTTGCCCTCGGGTGGGCCCTTGAACCCGTCGCGAAATAACATCCAGAAGGGCCTTTTTCCCGCTCCCTTTGGACCCCAAAACGGCCAAAACCTCCCCCGAGTGCACCTTCATGGAGACGTCTTTGAGGATCACCCCGGTTTTGATGCTCCCCAGCAGTCTCTGCATGCAGGACCCCGGCTCGACCTAAAACCCTATCAAAACCAAATTTTCACCAAAAATTTAAATACCTGTCCCGAGTAGAACACATTTGACAATTCTAGGACGTAGTCGCTTGAAATCATTCCTCCAACACGCAGGTAGACACTGAGTGGAAGTCAGGTTTGAGCCTCGAGGTGCCCCCTCCAGCCCACAAACTCGTGAATTGAGGCTTTTTGCGGTTGGCAGCCTCCAGTGTGCGTTTTGGGCCTTTAAAGAAGCCACTCGTGGTTGCTTCCACTCCGTTGTGTTGGCAGCGGATTCTTTGACGTCAGAGAAGCCAGTTGAACGGCATCCAGGGGCACCGCTTCAGTGGTTTTAGTGCAACAGTGAAGTTCATTTTGTTCAAATGTGCGACTTTGGGGACAATTCGGGGAAAAAGGCGCCAAAAACATGACCGGTGAGTGAAAAACGCAAATTGCGAGAGATTTAAACGCTAGCGCAAGACACCAACCCGGAGGAAAAATGCCAAAAGTCCGGTTATTTGTCGCAAAATCCGGGTGAATTGAGACTTTCGCCCAAGTTTTGTTTATTCAAATCCGGGCCCCAAGCGTGAAATATTTAATTTTAATGAAAATCAATGGAAAGTGTGTGACCCCAAAAATGAGCATTTTCCCCCAAAATCCGAATTATATAATAGAAGAATTTGGGGAATTCAGGACGTTCCACTACACGCCCAAAACAATATGCATTCAGCAGGAATTTGATTTTTCCTGCTAATTAATTACCAAAACAATAATTTGATTTTTTTCTGTTGATTAATCAAAAGCGTCTAGATGCGCTTCCTGCTCAATTATGCAAATTCCTGGAGGATTAAAGATGATTTCCTGGTGTTCACACGAGCAGAAATTTCGATAAATCTTTTTTTTTGCTCGAGTAACAAGAGAAATCTCGTTATTTTCCGTATTTATCAGCAGGAATGAGGTTAGGCCAGCAGGGAAATGTGGTAAAAAGTTAATTTTTGTTTTGATTTAGGTTAGCCATCTGCTTCGGCAATTAAAATGCTCACTAAATCTCACAATTCAACATATGTCTCTCCGAAATCAATTAAATTAGTTGAGGATAATCGCGAATTACGAAACGTCGAGTTCCGCAACTTCCTATTTAATCAGTCAAGGATACCAACTGTTGATAAATCTGCAAGCAATTTGTTTTTGTGTGACGTCAGTTTGGCTCCCGGTGACCACTTCAGCAAACAATAACTTGTGATCAAAGAATAACAATGTAATGATTCATGATTTTGTAATAATAAGCGCCAAGTTTTCGAGTACTGTTAGTGCATTTTCTGTCGCTATTGACGGAACTGTATCTGCATCATATACCAGATGGTTTCCTGTGTTTTGCATTGGCCCAGATTCCATTAATGACGAAATTTTTATCGGTGGAAAGGTGCGCCGGTCATTGGATTGGTAAAAGTTAGGTCACAATTTTGCACTAAGAAAAGAAAATTCCAAATAATTATTTGTTTTACTGACATTGGCATTTCATGCTTTTCGTGGCGTACAACTCGTGCAGAACTAAAGCGAATTTTGCATAAGTAGCGAGACATTTTTTCGAAATCGGCCGTAAAGAAGCACTTTTCCAGACTCAAATGTCATTAATCAAAATCATCTATTAAGTAATTTTTTACATTTATGTCATTATTTTTGCATAAATAAAGTTAATTTTTTACACTGATGGTCATTTTGGCATATGAGAACTAAAAAAAAACATATTTCCGAAATCGTCCGTAAAGAAGAACTTTTTCGGACTCAAATGTTATTAGTCAAAATCGTCTATTAACCAATTTTTTGCCTTTATATTATTATTTTTGCATTGTTAAAGAGAAAAAGAGTTTCTTTTTTAAATTGTTATTAAAGAAGTACTTTTTTGGACAAAAATGTAATATCATTTTCAAAATCGGCCGTAAAGAAGCACTTTTCCAGACTCGAATCTCATTAATCAAAATCGTCCATTAAGTAATTTTTTACATTTGTAATTTTTTTGATAGAGAGAGAAATCGTTAGTAAATAGTACTTTTTCGAACTTAAATGTAATATCATTTCGGAAATCAGCCGTAAAGAAACACTTTTCCAGACTCAAATGTCATTAATTAAAATCATCAATAAAGTTATTTTTTACAAATTATGCTCATTTTTACATAACAGTGACAAAAAAAACATATTTCTGGAATCGTCCGTAAAGAAATACTTTTCTGGACTCAAATGTCATTAATCAAAACCTTCCGTTAAGTAATTGTTTACATTTATGTTATTATTTTTGCATAGTTAGAGAGATAAAAATATTTTTTTTCAAATCGTTAGTAAAGAAGTACTTTTTCGGACTGAAATGTAATATCATTTCCAAAATCGACCGTAAAGAAACACTTTTCCAGACTCAAATGTCATTAATCAAAATCAATAAAGTTATTTTTTTACATTTTATGGTCATTTTTGCATAAGGGAGAAAAAAAATCATATTTTCGAAATTGTCCGTAAAGAAGTACTTTACCGGACTAAAATGTCATTAATCAAAATCGTCCATTAAGTAATTTTTTACATTTATGACATTATTTTTACATAAATAAAATTAATTTTTTACACTGATGGTCATTTTTGCATATGAGAGACAAAAAAACATATTTCCGAAATCGTCCGTAAAGAAGCACTTTTTCGGACTCAAATGTTATTAGTCAAAATCGTCTATTAACCAATTTTTTACCTTTATGTTATTATTTTTGCATTGTTAGAGAGACAAAAATAGTTTCTTTTTTAAATTGTTATTAAAAAAGTACTTTTTCGGACAGAAGTGTAATATCATTTTCGAAATCGGCCATAAAGAAGCACTTTTCCGGACTCAAATGTCATTAATCAAAATCGTCCATTAAGTAGTTTTTTGCATTTGTTATTTATTTTTTTTTTTTGATAGTTAGAGACGCAAAAAGATATTTTTTTAATCGTTAGTAAAAAGTACTTTTTCGGACTGAAATGTAATATCATTTCCGAAATCGGCCGTAAAGAAGCACTTTTCCAGACTCAAATGTCATTAATCAAAATCGTCAATAAAGATATTTTTTTACATTCATCTGGTCATTTTTGTATATCCATAAAAATGTAAAACTCAAAAGACCGTCTTTTTATTTCATTTTTAACTAGTATAAAGTCCGTTTCAAATTTTTAATATTCAAAGTTGTTTTGTTTCACTTTTTTAAATCAATTTCTTTGAGTACTTTTTTAGGATCTAGTTTAAAAAAAATTGTTTTAAAGTCTAAATTCTAAATTTTTAACAAATTTTAGTATTTTTTTGGCATTTGTTGCGTTTCAAATTAAATTTTGTTTCCCACTTTTGAAATATAGTATTTTTCAAATTAAAGTATATG